TAAAGCATAAACTATAAACTGAAAGTTCATTATCAAAATAGTTATTGAACTAATGAGTAATTATGTCAATCTTGCTAGACTTTATGCCCGTTTGTTTTAGATGTTGGTAGAATTGATTTTGATAGAATTGATTTTAAACGGTTGAATGTGATTGGAATGTGTGTCCAAATTAATTTCAATTTCAAATATTACACTGAAATGCTTGCCTGGGAAATTGATTATAGTTGTAAATCAAATGGGCCCCTTGTTTGATCTTGATGGTCAGTAGTGTAGCTTGTAAACCTTGAAAATGGATGGAAGTTTTCCAACTAGCCTTGCTTCCTGCATGATATATGGTAACCTGTTTGCTCAATGTTCTGACTTAGGTTTCAATGTTTTAATATTTCACAATTTTATGGTACAGGGTGTTTACTATTATTTCTATCAAATATTCAGGAACAAAGCTGAAGCCGTTGCACTAAACCAAAAGAAAATGGGCATCGGTGTTGGATCTATTAGGATGCTCTCCTCACTTCTTGTTGATGCATTATATGGGTACTTTGTTTTCAAGCTCACTAGTTTGTTATTGCCCTTTGCCCCCAACAAATTTAAGTTATTTCATGTTGCTTGAAAGTAGAAACTACTATTATGTCATGTCTCACTGGTTCAGTACTCATGTTGCTCGATTAATCTTTTTGTAGGTGTGTTAACGTGCTCTTGACAAATCCCATATGGGTAGTTGCTCCTAACCCTTATTTGTCTTGTTTCTTGGTATCACTAGACATTATAGCGAGAATAATTAATGCGCATATCTTCTGGAAAATATTCCTTTTTTCTTAAAATTTTAAATTCAAATTTTGTTGCGGTGAGACGGTATTATTGATGTGAATGCGATGCTGAATTTTGTCAGCTTATGGGATTTTTTTCCTTCCCGTTATTTCTTGCAGGTCCTAGCCAATCTATCTTTGGAAGGGACGTTGGCTCCCGAGCTGGGGAAACTTAGTCATCTAAAATCCATGTAAGGGTTCTTTTAAATTCTTATTATACCGTATGGTAGCCGACCAAACCGAATACCCGTCCGAGAACACTTAGGCCGAACACTCGAACACGCCGACCACTATGACCGAACCAAACGTGTCGGTGTGCTCGACCATGTTCTGTACCACACCAGAATGATTAAGTAGAGTTTAATTAACACAATGCATCGGATTAGCCCCCTAATTTTCTAGGGGCTAACCCTTAATCAAGGCCCAATAAGAACCACTATAAATAGGATCCCAACGAGGTACGCAACTAACTTTTAACTACCGTATTTATTACGCCGAGCACTGACTTGAGCGTCGGAGTGTCTTTGCAGGCACCCCCCACCTCGCTTCGGACTACCGGGACAAAAACGAGAAGACCGAGACCCAAGACCCGACCTGACACAGCTAGGATAATTGGAGTGTGTTTCCTAACACAAGAACATTTGACGCCCACCGTGGGGCCGAAGAGACGTTTCAGCCCCTTTTTACTCTACAACTGAGACTGAGACATGGTAGTTACGCGCAAAGGACAATCAACAACGACTCAGCTGATCCCTAACCCTGAAAGCAATCCCGTCATGACCAACCAAGAACGTTACCCCTACGGAATGCCTCAAACCCAACCGGAACCTGTGATACAACAGGTTTAGCCAAATACTGACCGAGCTCAACCTGACTTCCAAGATGACTTGCGCGCATTGCGCGAGGAAATGGCGGCCATCCGAAGAAAAAGAGAGGCTGATGCCCGAGAACTGGCTGAGTTACGTCGGCAAAATGCCGAGCTCCGGAACTTGAACCAAACTTACGTACCGTTTACCCCCACACTCGCTAAAGAGTCAGCTTATCATGCACCAACCGACCAGGTCACTCGAACACCAGCCACTTCTTTGATCGGTAACAAGGCCGACACCGGCGCTCACTCCTTGAGACACCCTTTCTCACGGAGGATAATGGAAGCAACCCTACTAGACCATTAGAAAAGTCTCCCAATTGAGAAGTACGATGGATCTACCGACCCGGAAGAGCAATTGAATGTTTTCCTAACGCAAGCAACCCTCTCTACCCAAGACGACTCCGCCCTATGCCGAATATTCTCCACGTCGCTGAAAGGAAGGGCTGATGGAATCATACTTGGGAATGCAAGAGGTGACACACTCAAAGATCCAAGAGGAGTGGGCTAGACATGGAAGATTGGGCCTGTCAAGGCCCAATGGGCCCTATGGGCTTGGAAGGCCCAAACCAAGTTTCAACATGGGCCTATCTTGATATGAACATTCTTATTATAATTTTGTTAGCATAGTTTGAATATATTTTGGTCTTGTATTTTGGACCACATAGAGTAGCATTTTAGGTTTTAGGCTTGTTGGGCCTAGTTTTGGGCTTCATGGGCCTTTGGGCTTTTGGTACCCAATATTGGGCTCATTTTCATTCTTGTAATTTTTCCTTTCCATTGTATTTGTTTGACCATTGTATTTAGGTCATTAGATTAGGAATATACAAGAATTACTTAAATAGGTAAAATAGGTTAAACTAGGTTTAATTTGGAAGTCATTTAAGTTACATTTGAGTCACATGTTTAGCACCATGGGTGGCTGAACATGTGCCACTCAAATTAACCCTAAATAACTCTCAAATCAAACCTAAATGCATCTAGGCACCTAAATTTTCGGACTAGCACATGGGAGCCAAAATTTGAATTCAAATTTCAAGTTTGAATTCAAATTTTGGGCGCCACATGTAGCCTTGGATTTAGGCGCCCAAAGTTGCACACTTGGAACCCTACTTAAGTGATTCTTCCACTCTTTGTATTCACTTTTGAGAATAATGAAATTTGAAAGCTTATTCAGCCAAATTTCTTCAAGAGTCACCGAATTTAGAGAGCTACACTTTTAGGAACCCTATTAGGTTTCCTCCTCTTTGAAGTGAGCTTTCCCTTGAACCTTAAGCTTGGATGCTTCCATCCAAGGCTTAAGCCTCTCTTTCTATCCGAGAATCATCCTTCAACAAGTGTTCATCGTTGTGGTTTCCATCTCCTTGAAGAAGATCCGTGCATAAGGAGAGATTAGGAGAAGAACACCTATCACTCCTCCTCACCTTCTCCATCATTTTTGGTATCAAGAGCAAGGTCTTCAAGGAGATAAGTTTGCTTCATCCTTTTGTGACCGTGTTTGTGTTCTATGTTTTCTTCTTGTCCTATTTGAGTTTCTTTTTGGATCTATATGCTTTGAATCATCTTGTGTTCCATAGATCCATTGCTTGATTGTTTTTTGAATTTCTTCCACAATCAACATGTTTAGGACCTATTAGCTTGTGCTTATTTTTGTTTCACTTTGAGTCTCTCCATTCTTGTATGTGTCCGTGATTGGACCTCATGCATGTGAATTAGATTTTGGTTTTGAATCTATGTTTTGTCTTAGAGTGTTTGTTTAGTCCTTATATGTTTAAGAATTCCTTGAATAGCATGTTGACCTAATTTTTCTTTAAGTACATTGTCTCATAATTTGGTCTCGGTTTGTGTTCATTTGTGCCTACCTATATGTGATTTTTCTTTTGCCTTATTGAGTTCATAATTTGCTATTAGTTCTAGCAAGTTTCTTTAGAGTTAGGTTTCCTTTATGTACTTAAGTTTTCAAATCACTTTCCATTGAAAAATCTTAAGAAAATTTGTGTTACTTAAAATTTCAAGTGCTTAATCCTACTTCTAGTGCACTATCTTTTGGATTTAAATTTAAAAAAAAAAAAAAAAGTTAAGAGGCTGAAAACAGAGGAAAAAAATACAGAGCCTAAGGTTCAAAATTTCAAAAGAAAAGATTTCAAAAAGAATCCAACACAAAACTTAAAAACTAGTGCACTAGTATCATCATTTTTCACTTGAATTTTATACTAACTTGTAGTCTCGGTTTCTATAGCTTGGAATCTTT